AAAGAAGGCTCGGAATGAGTGGTTTAGGAAACCATCCTGAGTCTCGCTGATATTAATCTTCAATTTAGAAAAGGATAATAAGTCTCTAAAAGGAGTATAAAAATCCAATGGCGTTTGTTTTGTTTTCGTTTTTGTTTTTGTTTTTGTTTTAGACAAAGTCTCAAGCTGTTGCCCTGGGTAGAATGCCGTGGCATCATAGCTCACAGCAACCTCCAATTCTTGGGCTCTTGCCTCAGTTTTTCTATTTTAGTAGAGACAGGGTCTCACTTTTGCTCCGGCTGATTGTGAACTCACGAGCTCAAGCTATCCACTCACCTTGGCCTCCCAGAGTGCTAGGATTACAGGTGTGAGCCACCATGCCCGGCTGTGGGCTTTGTTTGGTTTGGTTTGGTTTGAGGGTTTGTTGTTGTTGTTTGAGACAGAGTCTACTCTGTTGTTCAGGCTAGAGTGCCATGGAGTCAGCCCAGCTCACAGCAACCTCAAACTCTTGGGCTCAAGCGATCCTCCTGCTTCAGCCTCCCAAGTAGCTGGGACTACAGGCACCTGCCACCACGACCTGCTCATTTTTCTGTTTTAATTGAGGCAGGGTCTCACTTTTGCTCAGGCTAGTCTCAAATTCCTGAGCTCAAATGATCCTCTTCCCTCAGCCTCGGAGAGTTGTAGGATTACCGGCATGAGCCAACACGCCTGGCAAAAAAAAAAAAAAATTCTGTTTTTGTCTTTTGTTGTTGTTGTTGTGTTTTTGGAAGTTTTCTTTGGAAAAGCTGCAAGAGAAGGAAATCAATTTTTACTAAGTCCAATCATGTATTGGACTATGTTACTATGATAAGCGATCTCCTCACAATAAAACCTTGGAATAGGTGTGATAATGCAGCCATCTTGCAGATGTAGTAGCTATAAGGAGAGATGAGGTAAAAGCCTCTGTCTCATAGCTAATAAATAAGTGGCTGGACCCAAGAGTCTGATCTAGCTGATAAGTGGCCTTGAGTCTACATATCATCCTGCCTCTCTGCATATAAAAAAGGGGAACATTTCTCCATGTTTTCCTTTGTTTCTCATTTTTCTGAAGTGTATTGTCTGTTCATAACTTTCTTTATCTAGTAGGATTGTGACCTTTGTTCATAAAAGTGGATTAGCTCTGTACACAGTATTGATGTTAACACAGGTCAGTCACACCTCGTGGAGACATTTTTTGCCAACGTGTCATTTTTCTCTCCAGTTCAGTACTGTTATTTTCATTATACAGATGTTGTAATGGACGTATAATTCAATTAATTGATTTCTTCCTTTGTAATGGCTTTCATTGTTGCAAAGTTGAGAAAATTAGCATTTCTCTAATGGATCTGAAATTTTTACTGTTTTCTACAATGTGGCTGTTTTCTACTTGACTCTGAACCCGTTATTATTATCTTATGGTATAGGACATCAGATGTGAATCTAATCTTCTGTATTGCGATTACCTTAGCCCAATCCCCCTTCTTGCACTATCTTTCCTTTCCCCCTCATTCGAGCAACCTATTTTATATTAGTTTTTATAGTTTCTAGGATCTCCAATGTGTGCCACTGATTTATATTTCTGTCTAACCTGAGTATCACACTATTCTGATTATTAAATATTCTGCTAGATAGTGTGGCTAGATCAACTCCCTTTGCTAGAAAACTGATACACATTTAAATCCCAGATTTGAAAAGCCGAAAATCAAATTAACAAAATATCATCCTGGCATATAAAAATGCCTGCATAATAACTTTTCCTACAGTTGGAACAAATTAAAGAACTCCAGTCCTATCTAGTATTTTTCTAAAGAAAACTCATATGGGGTCTTATTCATCTCATTATTTTTATTACAGAAGTAATAAGTACTTGGAAGTGATGTTTAATTAAATTTGAAGGTCAAAGGAAGTACAAGAGCTCCACATTCATTTCTTAGATTAATTCATTTATTTCGACAAACATTTGAAGGGAATTCACCGCATGCCAACTCCTAAGCCCGGCATTGGGATCTGGCTGTAAACATAACAGAAATGGTCCCTACTCATTGAAACCTGGTGGAGAAGACAGATGTTAACAAGAAATTCCAAAGAAAGAATGAGCTCGGCAAGCTATAGGAAGGTAGAAAAGGGGCCATAGGCAATTCAGGGAGAGGTCAAGAATGTTTCCCCCCAGAAAGTATTATTTAAATTGGGGGCCAGGGGGAATTTTTCAGTCAACGATAAGAGAAAGATAAAGAGTGTATCTGAAGATGCTAAAAAAAATGTTCTCGGGCCCTTATAGATTGACATTTACCATATTACCCAATATCAGGCAGGCACTTTCTATAGGTATGGGTTGCTCCAAACCTCTCACACCTTGAAACACTTACCACATTTGGAGAGTACCTCACTTAGGATACAGGCTTGGCTACAGTAGATCTGGCCAAAATGCATTTCCCCAAGGCCTTGTTCTCAGATGGTTACTTCCCTCAGCTGGGCAGGTATCAGGATAATGTGTTGGGGTAGAGTCTCTACCGATCTAGACTGAGTAGAGCTGTTTTTGTCCCTTTAGGTTGTCATGGTAAATAGTGTCACCCATGCGGGGTACAGGGTATGAATGACTAACTTGACCTAAAATCACATACTTAGGGAGATGGGAAGGTGGAGTGGTCAGACTCTATGGCAGTGGAAGAGGAAGGCAGCCCCTCAAGGGACTGCTGGACCCCCACCCCACTCCTCCAAAGTCCAAGAGCCACGTGGGGAGGGGGCGTGAAACAGCCCTACCCAGATGCCAGTGCTCTCTGCCCGGCAGTTACTAGAAGGCAGGCCAGACCCTGTCCAGGGAGTCCCTAGGTGAGCAACGCCAAGCCTCTGCAGACTACGATCCTTATATAAGCCAGGTCTTTTAAGAAGCTGCTAAAACCGCTGACCTACATACCAGAAAATGCATACATAGGAAAAGGAAATTCAATTCCCTGATTTGCACCTACCTAACTTGCAGACTATGTCAGCACTGTACTTCAGCAGTTTATAAAGGCCTCCAAATAAAACATCTCATTAGATCCTCACAGCAACACCACAAATCGGTATTGTTAGATGAAGACACTGAGACTCTGAAGGGGGAGAGCGACCAGGTCTAGAGCTAAGAACCGAAGCCATCACGCACCCACTGGTCAGTCAGCCCACAGGGCACCTGCTCTGGGGTATAGCTGTGAAACTTAGGGTCCTTGCCTTCAGAGGTTCCCTTAGATCTAGCTGGGGGAGACTGAGCAGTGAAGAAGTGGTTACAGCCATAGAGTCTGGCTACAGAGACTGGTACAGTGTGCCTCAACGGAGGTGGAAGCTCCTGGGAGAGGTGACATATGACCTGTGGTTTGAAAGATGAGTGGACCAGTGATTCTCAAACTTGAGGTACATCAGGGTCACTCAGTAGGATTTTTTAAACAGATTGCAGTGCCCTACCTTCAAAGTCTCTAGTTCAGTAAATCTAGGGCGGGGCCCATAATTTGTAATTTCCAAAAAGTTCCTAGGGGATGCCCATGCGGCTGACACAGGACTACGCTTCTCTTACATCTCTGATGACAAGCTTGCCCGACAATGCCAGCGCAACAGGACCTGGCTGGCCTGGCCAGGGCCCAGGGAGCTTCTAAAGAGTGGGAGGGGAGGTAAGGAGAGGCAGGGAGAGACAGCGGCACCGGGCCCCGTCAACCTGGGGAGGCCAGAGCCAGGGCTCAGGACAGGCTCTTCCTCTACTCCAGGGCCAGAACGTAGGCTGGCATCAGGCTGAAACGTGAAGACCGCTCAGACTGTCTCCACGTGACCCTACAGTACCTCTCTCAGTGACAGGAAGAGTAATGATCCCTCTGGTGCCAGGCATGGGGCTGAGGACTGTATGCAGGTTAGCTCATTTAACCTCACAATAACCCCTTGGAGGAGACACACGTGATCACCATTTTAAATATGTGGACGCTGAGGCACAGAAAGTTTTGGTGATTTGCCTGAGGATACACAGCAAGAGGTGATGCCAGGATGCACACCTGGTATCCTGGTATCCAGGCTTCCCTTCCCCTCTGCCCATTGTTGGTCCCATCTGGCTGGCAGACACCAAGGGTCCAGTCCCATGGACCCAGACAAGTCTGAGATCATCACTTTCCAGGGCCAGAGGAGGGCAGTCAGAAGTAGCAGGTCCCAACAGAGAGCACCAGGACTCCCAAGCAGCTGCAGTGGCCCAGCTGCTAGCTGGATTGAGCAGACCAGCTGGTCCCCAGCCAAGGACTCCCCACCATGAGCCCAGAGGCCAGAGTCAGGCCTAGCTGCCTTTAAGCCTTAGCCCCCCTACTGGCTGTGTCTCTTAAGTTCATTAACCTCTAGACACCTCCATTGCCTCTCCGCAAAACAGGAAGATCATTCTAACCCCACAAGACTATCCTGACGGGAAAGGGGAATGACATGGCTCGGCCACCCAGCATGTGCTGAGTGGATATGGTTCTCTTTTCTCCCCAGACCCTCAGGGGGCTGCCACCATGTGTCACATGCAGCCCTGGCCATTCCTGAACTTCCTAGTGAGGAGATGGAGTAGAAGAGCTGCCTGCTGTGGCTGTAGAGCAAGGTGTAATTCCCACAGCTGGGGCTGTCAGCCAAAGGGCTCTGCCTCTGTAGCTGTCCCCGACTGGAGAAGATGGCCCCGGCACCAGCTGTGAGGAGATGGGTGCACCAGCAGGGCCTTGCTCTAGGCTACTTCTTGAGGGCAATGGAGGCAGCAGGTTTAAAAAACATAATAAGCAAGCTCTGTGGATCCCCTAAAACTGGACATGGGGGTGGGGTGGGATTCTTTCCCTGTTTGTTCAGTAAATGGGCTCAGGACAGAGAAGCATGTAAACCACTAGTGGCCAAAGGCAGGGTTCATGGGGAAACCAAGAATCTGACTACTCTGTGTCCCTCTCGTCCTCTATCCATGGTCTGGCCAGATGTTCCTCAGTGTAGAACCCTGGAGCCCTGATATAATGGTCTCTGTATTTGGTTTCCAGGAGAGCAGCCCCCTCAGCTGAATTTTCAGTGGACAGGACACGCCACTTAATGTCATTCCTGACCATGATGGGCCCCAGTCCTGACTGGAACGTGGGCTTATCTGCAGAGGATCTGTGCACCAAGGAATGCGGCTGGGTCCAGAAGGTGGTGCAAGACCTGATTCCCTGGGACGCGGGCACCGACAGTGGGGTGACCTATGAGGTACGTGTGTGCCTAGAGTGGTGAATGGCAAAACTTTCTGAGAGCCTCCCCCTTGCCCATCCCTGCTCTGGGTGTCCTGGACACAGAGGGCAGTATGACCCAGGCTGTGTTCCACCAGAACTTGCATTCTGGTGTAGGAGGCCAGCATGGTCTCCTCTTCCTGTGCAGTGTGATTTGGGCTCTGGGAAGTGTCTGAGCAATGGTCAGGAGAGCATGGAGAGGGACTCTGGTAAGGAGCAGTTATAAGTGAGCACGAGAACAGCATTCCGAAGGCACAGAGAGGGCAAATGCAAGGAAAAGCAGGAAAGTATATAAGGCTGGGCCAGATCCTGAAGGTTTCCAAGGAGTTTTGATTCTATCCTGAATGTCCTATTTCTCAAGGCCTTGCTCTAGGCCACTTCTTGAGGGCAATGGAGGTAGCAGGTCTAGAGCCATCAGAAATCCAATGGGAGAATAATCTAGAACAGGCATCAGCAAACTATAGTTTACAGGACAAATCTGCCCTACCATGGGACTTGTAAATAAAGCTTGCACAGCCAGCTACACTCATCCAGTCACATACTGTCTGGGGCTGCCTTCCCACTACAACAGCTGGGTTGAGTATTCGCGACAGACACAGTAGGGCTCACAAAGCCTGAAATATTTACCAACTGACCCTGTACAGAAAAAAGTTTGCTGATGCCTAGTCTAGGAGGAAAAGTGCTGGATTCAGGCCAATCTGGGTTCAACCATTTCCTAGCTGAGATGACTTTTCTGAAACTCGGCTTCTTCATCTGGGCACAATCTTTTATGGTAGACTTTCAAAGTATAGCTCTAGAAATTTCCAAGCACAGCATATGGCATGAATAGAAATCCACAAATATAAAAGTACACTTGTTAAATTCCTATCAAGGTTTTTGTTCTGATCCATGTAACAAATGGCTTTTGTGGGTCTTACCAGTTTTATTTCTCACTCTCTGTATCTGTGTTTTTCCTGCAGTCACCCAACAAGCCCACGATTCCCCAGGAGAAAATTCGGCCCCTGACCAGTCTGGATCATCCTCAGAGTCCTTTCTATGATCCAGAGGGCGGGTCTATCACTCAAGTAGCCAGAGTTGTCATTGAGAGAATCGCCCGGAAGGTATTGGGTTAGAGCTTGTTCTAGCACAGACTTCCTTCCCATCAGGAGTACCAAGGAGATGGCACCCCTTTTTGCTCTAGAATTAGGGATTCCCTGGAAGAAAGCACCTCAGGATATGAAATTCCTGAGCCTCCCAGAGCTTCCAGCATGCAAATTATTTTATAAAATGTAATTGAGCCAAATGAACTCAGTAGTGAGGCACAGTGCTCAAATGAATGGTTTAATCCAAGCAAATCAATTCCATCATGAGTTCCATAATCAGTTATTAATGTCTGCCATGGGTCAGGAGCTAGGAAGCAGTGGAGCCAAGAATTTACCATCCCTACCATTCAGCCACTCCTGCTTTCTTGAAATTTCTTTTTCAGTCAGATTGCAAATGTTTGCCCAGAACTTTCCCATGGCAAAGGATTTGTACAGCTTAGGCATGAGATTTTATGTTCTCCTTCATCCTTCCCCACACAGTCCCTTCTTTCTCTAATGGGAGCCCTCCAAGTAAAATTCCTTTTGCAGGGAGAACAATGCAATATTGTTCCTGACAATGTTGATGATATCGTAGCGGACCTGGCTCCAGAAGAGAAAGATGAAGGTACGTTGTCTTCCTTTGTTGGCACAACCCTACAGGAAAGCAATGTGCTAACAAGTTTTAAGAACCATAAAAGTTTCATATCCTGGCTCAGCGCCTGTGGCTCAAGTAGCTAAGGTGCCAGCCACATACACCTAAGGTGGTGGGTTCAAATCCAGCCCAGAGCCCGCCAAACAACAATGATGGCTGCAACCAAAAAACAGCCAGGCGTTGTGGTGGGCACCTATAGTCCCAGCTACTTGGGAGGCTGAGGCAGGAGACTCGCTTGAGCCCCGGAGTTGGAGGTTGCTGTGAGCTGTGATGCCACGGCACTCTACCCAGGGCGACAGCTTGAGGCTCTGTCTCCAAAAAAAAAAAAAAAATGTTTCATAACCTTTAACTTGGTAATCGCATCTCTGAGAATTTCTCAAGAACTAATTTAAAATAAGGCCAACACTAGGCACAAAGTACAAGGAAATTGGTGAAATTATGATATCAGAATATGTATTCAGAACATCAGGCCTTTAAAATTCAGCAAACTACAGTTTACAAGACAAATCTGCCCTACCACCAGGGCAGGTAAATCTCACCTGAATAGGCTTCACACTACTCAGACCCCTCTCTGCTTTGACTCTCACACTGTGAGGCAGGCATGGGTCATCCACTCCCCCAGCAAGCAGTTGAGGCCTAGATCCTATAGTCAGGAGGGAGTGACAGAGCCATAATTCAAGTTCAAGTTTTCTCACAAGATCTGGAGCCAGGCAGTCTGGATGGTTTAGTACAAGGTAGCTAGAAGCTAACCTTTCTGCTTCAGTTTCCTCAGCTGTAAAATGGTAATCATAACAGAACCTGCCTCTCAGAGAGCTGCTGTGAGGATCAAATGGAATAGAACATGTCAGGGACTTAGGATGATGCGGGTACCTAATAAGTACTCAATGAACATCGTCTGGCCTCTTTCTTATCATGACACCTGTGTATGGGATCACAGGTAAGAGGAAGCCACAACACAAGAAATTCTAAAATTGCCTGTGATTTACCTGTGTGTGTGTGGAAACAAGGTCTGCCAAGGACCTTGAGGATAAGATGTTCACATGTTTTGAGAACATGTGGAATAGTAAGACAGGCATTCCAATTATTTAGATATTTATTAGCAAAATGTTCAAATATAATTTTTAAAAAGAATTGAGTGGCTGTTTTCATCCCAGGAGCACCCAGGTTCACTCAGGCTCGTCTAGCAGCAGGACTTTTCTTGTCCCCAGTGGGCTGGTCTTGGGAGAGGGCCAATCTCAGCTCCCACAGGCTCCCAAGGAAAATACATCAAACCCTCTTTCCAGATGACACCCCTGAAACCTGCATCTACTCCAACTGGTCCCCGTGGTCCGCCTGCAGCTCCTCCACCTGCGACAAAGGCAAGCGGATGCGGCAGCGCATGCTGAAGGCACAGCTAGACCTCAGTGTCCCCTGCCCCGACACCCAGGACTTCCAGCCCTGCATGGGCCCCGGCTGCAGTGACGAAGGTGAGGAGATAGCCCAGATCAGCAGGGGCTGCCAGCTGCTCAGGAAGGGAGGGCCTGCCTGGCAACGTGGGCCCCTCACACCCAGTCAGGAGCATCCCTGGTGGGGGCACTGTGACTCTGACCCTAGATGGCCGCAGGGTCCACCTCAGGCACAACTCGGTCTGCAGCAATGCTTCAGGGTTCTGAACACAGAACACGTCTTACAACATCAAAAGAATTCTTGAGATTGATGGACTACCTCCATCTCTCTCCAGCCATGGAACAAAAACCGCACAAGTTACTAAAGAACTAACAAACACAGACACATCAAATAATTGCAGATAACAAGTAGCCTGCTTCTGTGTCTCAACTCCAGCCTCTTTTTAAGGAACCAGTGAACAGGGTGGCCAAGACTAAATCAGGATCGTGTAATTCTGACTTACGCAGTCTCTCATCTGTGTTCCACCTCAGCCTGAGTCAGAGCGTTCACTGCTTTGTATCCTGACCTTTGGGCTCATTGCAGAAAATCTCAGTCTGTCTATCTGCAACTGGGCAAAGCTCAGGCTTGAACTATGAGTGTGCAATATCTATGCCATGATGGCTCAAGCTTGAAAACTGCTCTAAGCTGATTGCTGTGCAAAGGTTCGCTGCCTGCTTCCCTCTCTCTTTCTGGACAGATTTATATACTGTGCTTTGACCTTACAGAGTGCAACGAGGCAATGGGAGGGGATATTTAGGCTGGACAGGTCTATATGACAGGAAGAAAGCCACTTTCAAGCTGAGGATTACTAGAGAAAGCTTACCCCACTGCAGGTCTTGCACTCCCCGGGGGACTAGGGGCACTCTTAAATGCTACTCTTGCTGCACTCCCATGGTGCTTTATTGCTATTTCTGCCCACAATAAGGCCCTCTGACGCGGACAAAACTCTGCCATAGACAAGCCATTCCTACAAGCAGGCAGGGATAAGTCTGACTGGTCTGTCAACACTAACGCCTCCTTCTTGGGGCTGGGGATGAGGAACTCTCTGACTAAGGCCTCAGTGGGAGTTGGGGTCTTTAACTTCCCTCTCCACAACAAAATAATAGCCGGACGTTGTGGCAGGCACCTGTAGTCCCAGCTACTCAGAAGCTGAGGCAAGAGAATTGCCTAAGAGCTGGAGGTTACTATGAGTTATGACGCCATAGCACCCTACCGTGGGCGATAAAGTGAGACTCTGTCTCTAAAAAAGAAAAGTCCTTCCTCAAGCCACTTCAGGTGGCTCCAGGGTGGTAATGACAGTTCTGAAATATTCTGGGCTGTGCCTATTGTTTCCCTGGGGTCCATGCTCCCTAGAAGCTACCCAGCCCAGAGCCACAGTTCTCATGTACCCTCATCAAGTTGCCTTCTGCATGTAATTGTTTGTGGGAGTGGCTGGAATAGGAAGGAAGCAGAGACCTCTGTGGACATCCTGAAAGAATCATTTGCATAAGACAAGGGACATGGACTTCCTTGGGTTGTTGCAGCTGCCTCTTAGTTAAATTTCTTCCTAATGATCTGGACTAACCGTTAGGTCTTGTCATCTCTCCCTGCTTCTGTCCATCTTACAAGGTACCACTTGAGGGATCTTTTGCAAACAAAAATCTTACATGTCAGACCCCAGCTGGCTATGACTTTCTACTGGCTACATGCAAAACTCCTCAGCTTAATACCTGTGTACTTAATACATGTGTCCTGAAATAGTCCTGCAGAGAACCAAGCAAGTGAGCGTGTGATCTGACACACATCTAACGCGGTTTAACATGATACTGAGGTTATCAGAAAGGGCATGTTATCAGAAAAGCACCAGAGGACATCCATTTATGGGATAATGAAAGGGCCTTTTGAGGCTCGCCTCTCAGAGGACGCACGCAGGTTGGCAGTAATCATATTCAGCCTGCCGGGGTAATGTGTTGCCAGGTCATGAGAAGCCTGAACTGGAGACTTGTCAAGTCCCATCCCCCAGCCACAGCACATTGGAACATAGCTTTCTCACTTGGTTTCTTACTAACTGCCTTTAGTTAGCCCTGTGCCCAGGTCTGACATGCGGATTCCAGCTGTGTTTTTTTTCTTTTTTTTTTTTTTTTATTGAATGGTAACTATGTACATTAATGCAAGCTGTGTTTTTTTTAATTGCACCATCAGCACTGTCTAGCCACATCATCCTTAGGTTAAATGCTGTCTAGGCATGACACGCAAGTTGACAGTCTATTGATGTGTGCAGGCTGGCCTCACTCAGACTTTAATCCTTTCTGGCTTCATCTCCCAACCACACACATGCGAACAACTATGCAGAGGGATTGCATGCGTTACTCCCTTCCCTGTAAATACAAATGTGCTTTACCAACAGAAGTCCACTCAAATGTGCTTGTCCTGCTAGTCAGATCTTCCCCAGAACACCAAGAAGCAGGTTTCCCCCTCTCTGTGCTCCCTGATACCTGAGTTCACCTCTGTTGTCCGATTTGCAGTACCTGGAATCATTGGCAATTTATGTACCCCTCCCTCTCACTCTTTGGAATAAGATACCTTTGTAACTCCAAAGCATACCACTGAGCAGTCAGTAAATCTTTATTGACATGAATAAATGAGTGAATTAATGGAAAGATAGTTTCATTTTCCTCTTCTTTTTTTAAAACTGAGTAGGCAAACACACACACACCTGTGCTTCCACTTGAACTAGTGCCCCGCCACCATCTTGGAAACAGGACCACCAAGCCCTGCTGAGAGGTTCAGTGATCTTTCCACCAACCTGCTGAGTGTCTTCTACATGATTATGGCCTTTGCTAACAGCCACTGCTGGGGGCAAAGCTGTAAGTGGCCCAAGATATCAACATAGAAGGCTGCTTATCTCCCTCCCCGTCCTTCTTCTACCTGCCTCTCTCCTGGGACACACAGACATTCCCTCTCCGCGCCCCACTCCACCCTTTGCTCCCCATTAGCACCTGGAATATTCTCTTCTTTGTTACCAACCTCAAGGGAGGCAGTGAGATGTCTGTGGCCGCCTGGTGTAATCCGCTCTTTGGGCACAGATCAGTCCTGTGTCCCAAGGCTATTCACAATCCTCAGGAGCAAAATTCTCTCATCTATTTTTCTAGAGGGTAAAATGGCAGCTTTAGACAAAATTTCAGGTCCCTCTGAGCAAAACAGCTTGTACGATGTCTCAGAATATAGATCATTTCTTTCAGCACTGTCCAGTAGAACGTTCTGCATGGACGTGCTATTCCACACAGTCCAATATGGTAGCCACTAGGTACACATGGCTATTGCACACTTAAAATATGGTTAGTGGCTGAAAAGTGAATTCCAAATTTTATTTAATGATCTTTGATGTCTGTTACATTAGACCATACAAGTGGATTATGATTTATCTTATATATAAAGTTACATTTTATACTGCACATTTTGTGTGTGCATATATATGTCTATGTATATTTTAACAACCTTCTACCATCCAAGTATTTTTCAGAAGTATTTCCATGGGATAAGGGGTAAACCTGCGTGCTCCATGCACTTGGAAAGGGGGCATTCCCTCTTAGAGAGTACCTGATTTAAAGAGTTTTTTTTTTTTTTTTTGAGACAGAATCTCATTTTGTTGCCCTCAGTAGAGTGCTGTACTGTCATAGCTCGCAGCAACCTCAAATTCTTAGGCTCAAGTGATCCTCTTGCTTCAGCCTCCCGAGTAGCTGGGACTACAGGCACCTGCCACCATGCCTGGCTAATTTTTCTCTTTTTACTAGAGACGGGTCTCTTGCTCAGGCTGGTCTTGAACTAGTGAGATCGGGCAGTCCACCCGCCTGGGCCTCCCAGGGTGCTACAGATTTAGACCTCCCACGTGTCCTTCCCTCCTTCCTAACTCCCCTTGACCGCAGGCTGGTTCCATTTGGGAGTCAGTTCCCTTTCCGGTCCAGCCGCAGCGCCTCGCTGCAGCGCGCGCTCGGTGTGTTGCAGACGGCTCCACCTGCACCATGTCCGAGTGGATCACCTGGTCGCCCTGCAGCATCTCCTGCGGCACAGGCATGCGGTCCCGGGAGAGATACGTGAAGCAGTTCCCAGAGGACGGCTCCGTGTGCACGCTGCCCACCGAGGAGACGGAGAAGTGCACGGTCAACGAGGAGTGCTGTGAGTGCAGAGCTGGGCGGGCGGGCGGGGAGGCTCCCGAGGCCGGGAGTGCGACTCAACTTCATGGGACTCCCCAGCGCCCAGCAGCTGCCTGGTAACCGAGTGGGGCGAGTGGGACGAGTGCAGCGCCACCTGCGGGATGGGCATGAAGAAGCGGCACCGCATGGTCAAGATGAGCCCAGCTGATGGCTCCATGTGCAAGGCTGAGACGTCCCAAGCGGAGAAATGCATGATGCCCGAGTGCCGTGAGTGGGCATGGGGGCGGGGGCAAGACCAGGGACAGAAGTCGAGGGCCACAGCACTCCCTACCACCACGGTGAAGGTCAGAGGCTGAGCAGAAAGAAAGCATAGCCCACCGCCCTTGCAGGGACTTCTTTGCTCCGTGGAGTTCGCTTTTATTTGAACCCACCAGCCAATGCCACTTCACTTCAGGGGCTAGAGCAGGGGACTGCATGGGGGGCATTGTGGGACCACGGAGATCAAACCAAGCAAAGGGAGCCCGTGCTCAGTAGCAAATCTGGCTCTTGATCTAGACACCATTCCATGCTTGCTGTCCCCATGGTCCGAGTGGAGCGACTGCAGCGTGACCTGTGGGAAGGGCATGCGGACCCGTCAGCGGATGCTCAAGTCCCTGGCAGAACTCGGAGACTGTAATGAGGATCTGGAGCAGGTGGAGAAGTGTATGCTGCCCGAATGCCGTAAGTCCTGGGGATCCCAGAAGCCACCACTCTCCTTCGTGTTCTGGATTCCGGGAAGCATGGAACCAGCTCTGTGCTGTGATGCATGGGTCACTAGGAAAGTTTTGAGATAAACTGTCCATTATTATGGTCCATTATTTCACTTGCTAAAAACACAGTCAACAGTGTCACCATGCAAGTTTCAACTTGCTCACCTTATTGGTGGTGCTGGGAGGGCTTGTTTCCAGCCATGCAGATTGTACGTTTCTTGATTTTTTATGTATCTCAAAACTTTCGTAATGGCCCACATATTACTGCTAGGCCCTATAGTAAGACCATTTGCTGGGGAGGAACATGAAGTTTGGCTGTCTACGTAGGTAGTTACTTGACTCTGCAATCTCCTCATTAGTAAAACAGGGATATTCCACTGCCTTCTACAGAACACACAAAGTGCAAGTTGTGTGAAGTCTAATGGGAGACCCAAGGCTCAATAAACCCCAATTCTTTCCCTCCCCAACTAGGGGCGTGTCTGACCCATGGATTTTCTAAGATTTTTAATGCTATACCTCCTCCTTGCAACCATTCTATTTACCCATAACCAGAGGTAGGATACTAAATCAGTGACTCCTGCAGCCTAGTAAGAAGACCAGCAAGAGAACAAGCCAGGTGCTCAAAACTCACTGTCCCCCCACCTCCTCCTCCAAAATCTCTGTGGCCAGCTGCTTTATTTTATCTAAGCAGAGAGAGCCAGTTTATCTGGCCAGCCTTGCTGCTCTTATATGTGGTGAAAGGGCAGCGAGCTCACTGTTTTCTAGCTCCCTCTAAAATGCACCTGCGGTCTCTGCTTGTTAGAAGTCAGGCTGCCATCCCCGCTCTGTCCCTAATGGCTTCTCATAGCCTCCACAGATTACTTATCATTTCTTTTACTCAGTTTCCTTATCTGTAAAACAGGATGCTGGAAGTGTGAGCACTGGACCAGGTGAGGACAGGCTTCCGTCACTTTCCATGCTACAGAGCCTGGGCCGCTTAGCCAGACTCAGCAGAAAAAACCTGAACCATCCACTAAAGACAGCCTGGTGTATTTATTTATTTATTTAGAGATGGAGTCTCAAGCTGTCACCCTCGGTAGAGTGCCATGGCATTACAGCTGACAGCAATCTCCAAATCTCGGGCTCAAGCAATCCTCTTGCTTCTGTTTTCTTTCTTTACTTTCCTTTCTTTCCTTTCTTTCCTTTCTTTCCTTTCCTTTCCTTTCTTTCTTTCCTTTCTTTCTTTCTTTTCTTTTCTCTCTCTCTCTCTCTCTCTCTCTCTCTCTCTCTCTCTCTCTCTCTCTTTCTTTCTTCTTTTTCAGTTTTTGGCCAGGCCTAGGTTTGAACCCACCACCTCCGCCATATGGGGCTGGTGCCCTAGTCCTTTGAGCCCCAGGTGCTGCCCAGTTTTCTATTTTTTTTTAGTAGAGCTGGGGCAGGGGTCTCGCTTTTGCTCAGGCTGGTCTCAAACTCATGAACTTAAGCAATCCACCCGCCTTAGCCTCCCAGAGTGCTAGGATTACAAGCGTGAGCCACCGCGCCCGGCCAAGCCTGCTGTTTTTAACAACTAAAATTGACCCATAGTTCAAGACAGATCACTTAGAATTGGGGCCCCAGAGCCTTTTGACTATTAAAAGTATTTATACCCATTAGGGTCCACTGAGGGAAGAGGGAAGAAAATGAACACTTACATAGCACTTATAACTTACCAGGCTGGAAGCATTATCTCCTTTAATCCTCACAACCTCATGAGAGAATTAGCATTATCCCCATTTCACAGATAAGAAAGCTGCCTGAGCTCCCATAGAGAAAAAAGGCCTGAAAACTATTAAAATTAGGATGTCCTCGCTCCAGCCTGATCCTGACCTGGCAAGGCCAATGGAGAGTTTGGAATCATTTGCCTCCCTAGGACACATCCTAAGAATCACACTGATGTGTTATTTCCCCTTCATTTGTGAGATGCTGGCTTAGCAAGAATTTGCTAAATCTTGTACTGTGATAAAACATAAAACACCACTTGCTTCTGACCCTCTTCTGAATTTTCCATTTCTGGCTCCTGTGTTTTTTGCACAGCCAGGCATTTATAGCATATAGGTTGATGCTGAGGACAAGAAAACTTGCCTAAATCTGTGAAAGCCACAATGTCCTTGGTATTTGGTCCACCAAGGTCAGCATCCCGTTAGCTTGTTGAGTTGTTCTCTCCAAAGGAGTCAGGCAGCAGGGGGCTTGTTGGCTTTGCTCTGAAAAATACGGGCAATGAGCTGAACCTTCCCAGAGCAATCCTGGGTCCTTAGAAGGTTGGTCCGTGCCACTTGAGACTGATTGGACAATTTTCTAGGAACTCACAGAGCAGGACAAGAGGCTCTGAACACATCTCAGAGTCCCCAAAACTTTTGTGAGTCATGTAGGGAGCACAGAATGTGGGTTATAACATGACACCAATCCTGCCTCTACTGTTAACCAACACTGTGGCTGGATGAAGTCAGGCTCTTAGGCCTTAGCTTCTTCTTTTATAAAATGGGATAATAGCCCCTGCTTTGCAGTCCTCACAGACTTGTTGAGATGTTCAAAGGCAAATGTACATGACCATACCTTTTTTCAGATATGAGATACACTCACACCCATCTGTGTCTTGCCAGCCATTGACTGTGAGCTCACGGAGTGGTCCCAGTGGTCAGAATGTAACAAGTCATGCGGGAAAGGCCACATGATTCGAACCCGGATGATCCAAATGGAGCCTCAGTTTGGAGGTGCACCCTGCCCAGAGACCGTGCAGCGAAAAAAGTGCCGCATCCGGAAGTGCCTTCGAAACCCATCCATCCAGAAGCTGCGCTGGAGGGAGGCCCGGGAGAGCCGGAGGAGTGAGCAGCTGAGGGAGGAGTCTGACGGGGAGCAGTTCCCAGGTATTGCTCCCAAGGGTGGGGCTGGGCTGGTCTTGGGGACAGGCGGGCTCTGAATTACGCTAAGGCACAGGTCTGAGAAGGGAGTTGGGAGAGAGAATATTTTCTGGAGTCTTGGGACTGCATTTTGATTATCTACATATAAGTTTTTCCCAAATATTAAGCAAGAATAATGTATAAAGGAAAGGAATAGGGAGACTCTATCAAAGAACCCTTTAGATAATGTAATTACCTGCCAAAAATAAATTTTCAAGCAAAGAACCCTTAGGAATTGTATGATTTCCTCCTTTCTGCACATATATAAAACCAGACATCTTTCCACTTTGCTCAAAATCATAGTCATGCCTTAGTGACCCCATAAAAAATAAAGATATGGACATACGTGTCAAAGGAGTCTCGTTCATCATTTAGGGAATGTTCCCAAGGCCCTCCCAGAACAAGAGGTTCTCCATTTTAAGGGTGTGGCTCAAACAAGGCAGCTCTGGCCTGAGGCTCTATGATTTCTGTTTGCAAGGTAACCACAGAGTTTAGCAGCAGTGTCATGTCGTCAGCCTTGAGTTTTATTTCCCCAAATAATATTGATACAGGCTACTAAACAGCTAGTAACAGTGACAAATGACAAACGCTTCAAAAGAGCAATGAACCAAGTGCTGAGGGAACATCTTACACTGTGTGCAGTTCTGGGAGGGAGATGGCAGAGCAAGGAGGATTACCGTGGTGGACCCTGAAGAACTTGCAGGGAGTTTGCCAGCTAGAGAAGTACATTCCAGGCAGCAGGAAGAGTAGTTGCAAAGGCAGAGATCCCAGAGAGCATGGTATGTCCAAGCAATAAATGGGATGCAGATAGAGCACAGAGTATAAGCAGGGCAGGTAGGAAACCAGGCTGCAGAGGTAAGGGCCAGACCATAATAGGCCAGTGGTCTGTTTAGGAGACTTGATTCTGTATCAGGCATCCTCAAACTACGGCCAGCGGGCCACATGCAGCCTGCCTGGGACATTTATCTGGCCCACTGGGTGTTTTTGCCACCGCTGCCTGTCCTGCTTAGCAGCCAACTCATCCTGGAGCCTGCAGTCCAGCCCTCCAACGGTCTGAGGGACAGTGAACTGGCCCCCTGTTTAAAAAGTTTGAGGACCCCTGCTATAGATGAATGTTTTAAGCAAGAGAGTGACTTTGTTAACTAAGACCTGTGTTAAGTGGTTTTGAAATGGCAAAAACAGAGGCATGGAGGCCAGTTATTAAGTTTGGTTGCACAACCCAGGAGGAAGATTATGCATCCCCTCCAGCTTAACTCAAGGGACCCAAAGAATTAAAGAAAAAAATAAAGTCTGTCTGGTGCTTCACTGCTGAATGAGCTGGCCCAAGCCAAGAGTGTGGTATCATCAGCAAATCAGTGAACTGATGAGTGGGGAAGATCCATGGTTAAGTCTTGGCATTGGCCAATCGATGATCTCTGGATTCCCTGGACTAGGTGAAGGTGCCCTTGTGAAAGTAAAGGTTAATGGGTACACTGAGTTTCTCATCATTTTTAAAGATCAAATTACGCCTTTCCTTCTCTCTAAGATGCTCCTCCTCATCCTGGGATGATGAGAGAAATGGGGAGGGTGTAAGGAGCTACCTGACAGGTCACTATCCTTCCATTAGGGAGCTAGTCACATAAGCAAAATGTTGTCTCTTATATATCAGTCAGCCAATCAACAAACATTCCTTAAAGCCAACTATGTGCCAAGCTCAGCGTTGTGCACTAATTTCCTTTATGAGACTTAGCTGTAAAAGGAGGAATACACAAAGTGTTTTGGAGGCATATAAACAAAAGATGTAACCTAATCCCTAGGGGTCAGGGAAGTTTTGAAAAAGCCCTATTTATCTGAGTAGGAAAAAAAAAAACTATACGTCTATTAATTAGTATTTGGGAAAGTACATACATGAGGAGTAAGACATAAGAGAAATTGGTCCAGTGCTCCTTGAGTGGTATTGTGTAACAAGCCACCCCAAACTGTAGGGTTTTTTTTTTTTTCTTTTTTTGAGACAGAGTGTTGTTCTGTCACCTGGCTAGAGTCTGCAGGCATCACCATAGTTCACTGCAACCTCAAACTCCTGGCCTCAAGCAATCCTACTGCCTCAGCCTCCAGGAGTAAACCACCATGTCCAGTCAAAACTGTTTAAATAGTCATTTATTAACATGATTCTGTGAGCCAAAGTCTTGGGCTGACTCAGTTGGATGAGTCTTCTGAGTTCTAGCTTAGAATCATTCATGTGGCTCAACTAGGGCTGGAAGGGCCAGAACCAGCCTTACTAGCATGTCTGGGACCTTGTGGGGCGGCTGGGGCCTCTTCATGTGGTCTCTCCAGTAGCCCAGCCAGGCTTTCTGAAGTCGGAAGGGTTCCTAGCAGCTTTTTTCAAGCCACGTTTTTGTTCATGTTCCATTGGCCAAAGCAAGTCATATAGGCAAGCCCAGATTCAAGAGGTGTAAAAATAGACTGCCTCTAGATGAGAGGAGCTACACAGGACATAAGGCCATTTTTGCAATTTATCATATATGAGCTAGCAGGCCCTAACAAAGACTCTTAGTTAATGCAACAATTTGTGACATACAGGAGCACAGGAGGAGCCCACTAAATTTCACAGTTCTGCTAGAGCTCAGCATCTTTGTTCTGTCTTAAATTTCTGCTGGCCTAACCAGACATTCTCATGCTTTCAGGCTGTAGGATGCGTCCATGGACAGCCTGGTCAGAATGCACCAAACTGTGTGGAGGTGGGATTCAGGAACGCTACATGACCGTAAAGAAGAGGTTCAAAAGTTCCCAGTTTACCAGCTGCAAAGACAAGAAAGAGATCAGAGCATGCAACGTTCACCCTTGTTAGCAAGGGCGCAAGTTCCCCGGGCTGCACTCTAGATTCCAGAGTCACCAATGGCCGGATTGTTTGCTTGTTTAAGACAATTTAAATTGTGTACACTAGTTTTCATTTTTGCGGTGTGGTTCGCCCAGTAGTCTTGTGGATGCCAAGGACATCCTTTCTGAATACTTCCTGATGGGTACTGGCTGAGTGGGGCTTTCCCACCTTCAGTCAGCCCTCTTCCTACACAGAAGTGAGTAGTGTCAGCCGCCCTGTACTAAACTGAAACATGTCCCTCTGGAGCTTCTGCCTGGCCAGGCAAGATAGAGACCTTGGCTTCCACGTGGACAGGCAGCCGTGTCTGGAGATGACTATGTGCCTGGGTCCTGGGGTGTTTCTTTATCAGATGGAGAGAGCAGATTCCCCTTGTTCTCATCCTTTGGCCTGTTCACTCTTGCGGAGAACGACTGTTTGCCCATTTCTTTTCATTTAGTGGAACTTTAGATTTCTTGTAAAGTCTCCTCAGTCATCAGTAGTTCCTGGGGAAAACAGAGCTGCTCGACTTGAAGAGGAGCATTGATGTTGGGTGGCTTTTCTTCCCTCACTGAGAAACCTGAATACATTTATCTCCCTAATATTGGTTCCTGACACCCCAAAGAAAAAAGATGGCTGCTTTATTTAAATCAAAGTAACCAGTTCTTACACCTGAGATAAAGTGTACTAAGTGTAGAAAGTAGTCTTCCCTTCCCTTTTTTTTTTCTTGCCCATAAGTCTTCCAAGAAACCAGCCCTATGAACCTTTTGGTACTAAATCCTTATTAGACCTAAGGCCAAGGCAGCAAATTGGCCTCTCTAACAGTCCCCAGCCTGAGTTCTACAATCTTAAGATCTTCACATTTAGACCTTCAAGTTTTCAAATCCATTTCTAACAAAACATTTTTGTTATACAAACATTTCCCTAAGTCGGCCCAAGAGCCTGCCAAGTCATTCCCTCAACAAAAGGACTTCCTCCAGAGACAAATACCTTTTCCAGAAAGAAAGGTATTTTCTTTTCCAGAAAGAAAAGGTATTTCAGAGACTAAGACAGAAAATCTAAGAGAAGAAATATTAAGAAATCAAGCTGAGCAAGCAATTCTGGTGGAAAGTCAAACCTGTGTCAATTATCCGCCCCAGGGCTGGGTCCTCTCCGACAGGCACAGGGAAGGCCTTCTCAGCATCCAAGCACACCAAGGTCAGGGAAATTGACTACTGAGGATTAGTATGAAAGGACTTTTTCTCAGTTGAGCTCATCAGCAGTTTTTGCTCATGCATTTATTGTTAAAATCATTGTTCCATTTCTTCTGCAGGCCTTCTTTATTACTGCTTAATCCAAATATATACTCTGGACGAGACTCATACAATGGTTTGAATACACCTACTTTAAGAATTTGCATTAAACAATCAGGACATTTCTCAACATGGCATATATATGCTATAGCCCTGAGTATGTATTTTCTTTAACACAAGACAGACTATTCGATAAAAAACTCACTGGGTCTGTCTTTTGTGTTTTTAAACTAAATGTTCAGAAGGTTGGGTCTTTTTATAATTATCATCCACCTTGATCATTAAAAAATACGTCTTTTGCTCCCTCATACAGGAGGGGACTTTACCTTATCGCTGCCACGTTGAGTTTTTTCCAACATTATTTTTTAAATCTTTAAATGAATTCTTTCTTCCCTCAAAGGAGCATAATATTAATACAAAGAAAAGGTTTGATTTTCTATTCCAACAATAAAGTCCTGATATAGAATCTGTCTACTTCTGCAACATTGTTGTTAAGGAACAAGCCACCCTAGTAGCTTGGCTTATTTGGTCCCTCCTGGGTACATTTCTAATCCTAATTTTGGAGACTTAAAACCAGGTTAACTGGTTAACAGCTGAGAATGAGTAACCCGATTCTTGTTGGAGAAGTGTTATTTTTGTTTGCAGTGGGGAACTTATAAGACATGTCAAATCTCTTTCTTACCAAAGTCTTGTGTTAGGCGGTTTATAGTTGTTCTGGCTAACCAATCATTTTGGAAATAAAGACTTTTTACTATAAAAATGAAATGTTTGGACTTCCACTTGAGATAGAGATCATTAGGCCTTCAGTAAAAACTGACATATAAAAAGTTATAATTGTTGTGTATCTTTTTATCAATGCCAAATCAGTTGTAATCCAATTTACATCCACATTTTAAGATAACAGTAAGTTTAGAGATAAATTTCCCAGTCAAGCATTGGGTCACTCACCTGTCACCTTGCCACTGTTGTAGCAAATGAGAATAAAACCTGGGCTTCTTTAGACCCAGAATAAAAAGATTTTGTGCTGTTCTTAATTTGAATTTTGTGTATGAAACATATTTTAGACATAATCAAAGTCTATACTCCATTCAGGGAGTAAGAGAACATTACACATTCTCACATGACTACAACTCTCCAAAAACAGTCCAAGTCAAGTCCATGGCTAAAATGTGCTATGGCTGGAGTTTGTACCCACCAAAACTCATGTTGACATATAATCCTCAATGTGGCGGAGATGGGAAGTTGGCCCCAGTGGGAGGTGTTTGAAACATGGGGGTGGATTCCTCATGAACAGCTTGGAGCCATAGGAGTATGTGAGTTGTAGTTCTCCAGACACTGGATTCGTTCTGATAGGAATGTTACCAAGATGGTGAGTTGTTAAAAAACCAGGATCCCCCCCCCCTCAGGTTTTACATCTCAAATGTGTCTGCTTCCTCTTTGACCATCTCCATTATGTTATGACACAGCATGAAAAGACCTCAATGGAAGCCAAGCAGATGCCAGCACCATGTTTCTTATAATTCCCGGCCTGCAGAACCATAAGCTAAATAAACGTAATTTCTTTATAAATTACACAGCCGAGGGTATTCTGTTACAGACAACACTGAAAGGACTAAGACAAATGTTAATACACAAAAATTTTCTGAGTCAAATTATTTCTATGGCCTATTTTCGTTTAGCCTACATTTTTCAGTCAAGAGTTAAAAAGTAAAAATAAATTCTTAAAAAATCAGAAAACTCCAAGCACTACCAAAAGATCTCCCCAGACTTTTTTTTTTTTTTTTTTTTTTTTGAGACAAGAGCTTCAAGCTGTCCCCCTGGGTAGAGTGCTGTGGTATCTCAGCTCACAGCAACCTCCAACTCCTGGGCTTAAGAGATTCTCCTGCCTCTGCCTCCCAAGTAGCTGAGACTACAGGCACCCGCCACAAGCCTGGCTATTTTTTGGTTGCAGTCATCATTGTTGTTTGGTGGGCCCGGGCTGGATTCGAACCTGCCAGCTCAGGTGTATGTGGTTGGCGCCTTAGCCATTTGAGCCACAGGCACCGAGCCACCAGACTATTTTTTAATGGAATCCGACCTGGAGTAAAAGAGCTCAGCTTTGGAAGTTCAGGTACAAAGGAGTTAAATACGTATACTCTAAAGCAATGGAGATAGTACTATCCAAAGACTAACCATATATGTTGAATTCATAATAATGCAGATGCTGACATTTCTACTATTTTTGTTAGTTGGTGCTGTCAATTTTAATAATGGGACAATTCATTTTGTTCTTCATACAGCCTAAAGTAAGGAGAATGAATGAAAATAAATTCCTTTTGAAAATGAGATGCAGAAACAAATTATAAATAGCAGCTAATTTGAATGCTAATTAGCATGAAGCTAATTCCTTAATTTAGATCCTTTGAAATCTCAAAGCAAAAGATCTAAACTGTCAAATTTAAATGGCATCCTGCTTTAGAAACCCTGTTGGTTTCGAGGGCTTTCTACCCTCTACACTCTGGAGGGTGGAGAAGCAGAGGCTGTATAATGGGTAAGCCTGGGCAGCCTGGATTCAAACCAGGGCTATTCCTCTAAGCTGCTTGAGACCTGGGACCAGTTATTTTACCTTTTCCAGCCTTAGGCTTTGATGCAGCTTTTTTACACCTTAGGTTTTGATACAAGCTTTTTTACACAAAAGGACTTACCTACTCCACTCAGCCTCCACAATTTAGCCAATTCTTGAGAACCTTGTCCTGTCTTAGGACTCCCTGCAAACCAAGTAGACCCCACCAGACACTCACTTCTTCACGAACCAGTAAATACACACTTTGTGTTGAAACTCGTTTGAGATGCATTTCTGTCACTTAAAACCTAAAATGTCAGGACCGAAAATATGCATGCAGTAATCATCCGAGCAACATGAAATTTGACTGGTTCACTTAACATTCATAATATTCCCAATGTCTTAATGAGGTAGCATTCATTAACATTTTCTCATATTGCTCTAAGTACTCCCATCTTTAGAACTGATTAGTAATAGTTCTCAGGTTTTAAGCAGTTACATGTTTAAAAAATTTTCCTTTATCCCGAACAATTTGTAAGTATTAACAGAAAGGAAAAAAGTAAAAGCATCTTATTCAAGTATACTGACTCCTTTACAACAACTGGGAGTTTACAAAAGTACAGCCCCTATTTTTCCTGAAGCTGGAATGCAACTCCTACTGGGTGATCCTAACCTAGAATTACCAGCCTGCCTAGGAAATCAGAGGGGCCGCTTGGGCAAAATTCCCCAATCTCCTGCTCCCTTCTCTGCTGGACTAGTGATGCTCAAACCAAGTCCTGCAGCCTGATAACATCTACAAATGAGACACAGAAATTGAAAACAAATGTTCAGAAACTTTTATAGTAATGTGACATTGCCACAACACCCCCAAAGAATGATTATTTTCCCAGTAACTCAATTTTTATAATACTTAGCAAAGTTACCAGTCCACAACAATGGAGATTAAAAATTTTTAACACAGTCTGAGAAGGTGCACGACCTAACATTCTAACTGGTCAGTAGAGAATGCCAGCAGGCAAACCCTGAGTGTTTAAATCTCTCAAATGCTTTGGTGTCCAGATTTAGCTCAGATTTGTGTTCCTTCCTATCTGTGGTTAAGTACCTTGCATTGGCTCTTTTAACTCTTCTAACATCCTATCTTACGATGCAAGATAATTACCCCACCACCTGGATTTTGCCACAAAATTTATCAAAATAACCCACACTTACTTCCTCCACTTCTGTACCCTCCAATCACACCTCAACTCACTATTATCTGGTTTCCACAACCAGATGACTGAGGCGGATCTAAGGAAGTCATCTGCAAGCCGTGGATGACCAGCACCGCCCCTTCCTCCTGCCCTCTGCACAGCTCTCAGTGCCGTCTACCTCCTCCTTGGCTTCTTTGACAGTACAGGCTTCTCCTGGTTCTCTCCAGTTTCTGGCTGCTTCTCTTGACTTACTGCTGCTTCTTAATCTTCTATCTCCCAAATATCTGTTTTCCCCAAAAGATTTAGCTTTGGACCCTCTCTCAAACACACTCGTCCTAGTGGATATTATCCACTCCCATCACTAGCTCAAAATAGATGATTTAACTCCAAATCTGTACTTCTAGCTCCTAGCCTCTTCTTTTGAGCTCCAGACTCCATTCCCAAATGCCTCCTGGACTAACCCTGCATAACGACTCACACACACACACACTAGAGAATTGCCCATATTCATTTTTAATTAATAGCATCACCTTCTTCTTAGTCACCCAGACTCAATACTTTAGAGACTAAAATGTCTCTTGGACACACCTCTGGTGTTCAGTCCCATACTCCCCATGTTACCACAGTTCAGACTGTCATTGCCTTTCTTAGAAATCATTTGTTCATTAAATGATTTTTCTGCACTTGCCAGGCAATGTGGGTAAAGCAGTAAACACAATACAGTTCTTTCCTAAGTTATGATACTAAGAAGACAAGTTCCATGAGCCAATCAGCTCTTACCTGACCACCCTTTCTAAAATCTGCTTTTTTCTGACATTTTTACTACCATTAGATTAGATCCAGGTGCCTCCTGTTCA